AAAAAAAAAAAAAAAGAAAGTGGCCTCTTGTCACTCAATGGTTATCTCCAGTGCTGAGTTTCACTAACTGTCTGATATGATTGTCTTGCTGAGAAGCACATCTTTTATTTATTTTGTTGGTGGACATTTGTGATGTTCCTTTTAATTTCAGGTTAATGTGAGGATACAAACAACTAGGTTACAATGTTTGCATTTATTAGGTAGAGTCTCTCTTGTAGTTGTGTTCTATATACACATACATTGTTCCCATTAAGTGGGAGACACCAATCCCCTCTCTCCCCTCTTCTTTTCTTCCCTCCTTCCCCCAAATTGAACTGAGTTTTACTCTTATGTGAGCATATATTAGATTGTCTACTGGCCTCATATTAGTATTTAGTACATGGATACTTGCTTTTCCATTCTTGTGATATTTTACTAGGAGGAACGTGAGAAGCACACCTTTATGAGTAGGTCTGCCCGACAAAGAGTAGACATTCTTACCCTAAATCATCCCGGTAAAGGCTGTACTTGGAACAGGTCTTGAGAATTTAGAAAGCAGGCTCTACACTGAGGATGAGGAAGAACTACTACTTTATTTGGTCTTATTCCAAGTGAGGCTACAAGTGCTGAGTGGCACCCCACAGTGGTGTGGGGAACTTGGCTTCTGTCACTGGCTGTACCAAGGCCATATTCCATGACTTAATACCATTTTATTTCAAAGAGATTGCACTGCCCATAGCTGAAAAGTACACTTAGCAAATGGGGCCAGCCTGGGTGCACACTGTCTGAAGGTCACGACTTCAGGGTCATTTGAAAAGCCTTGCCCACTGCAACAGTCTTCTCTTCCTTCATGGGTCTTCTCCCATCTTATTAGGATAAATCCTCTACCAAAAGGCTGAGTTAAATATACTTACATTGTGAGAACATCTTGCCCCAAACAATTACCAAAAATACTAATCAGAGAGTGCTAAAAACCTTTAATTCCATCACCTTGTTTAATACTTTTATCAGCTTCCACAAGAATTCAAAATATTTATATAGTAGTAATCATATGCCCGTACAATAATATATTCTTAGTTCTTAAAAATTAGTGTTCAATCAGCAGTCCCCAACCTTTTGGCACCAGGGACTGGGTTTCATGAAAGACAATTTCTTCCACAGAAAGGGTGGGATAGGGTTGTAGGGGGTGGGACAGGGACAGGAGACCAAGCTCAGGCAGAGATACTGTGCAGCCCTCCTTCCTCACAGGCCACTGACGGGTACCAGTCTGCAGCCTGAGGGTTGGGGACCACAGCGACAAATAGAGCAGAAGTCCCCACCACAGAGAGTTACTTAGTATCAATACCCTGGAAGGAAAATGGATTTTGGTGCCAGATACTTTCACTTGAATCACTCCTTCAATACCACCAGTATGGTCTTGGGCACTTCCCTTAACCTCTTGACTCTGTTTCTTTGTTTCTATCATGAGATGATTCTGGCTTGCAGGGTGGGTGAGAGGAACAGATATGATACACAGATGGTAGCCGACTCAGCTTGGACAATGACTAAGAGTTATCTACATTTTATTACTTCTTGATTTGAGGATTTTTGTGGCGAGCACTGAGCCAAGTATTCTTTACATCATCATCAGTTTTAATCCTTTTGACATTTTCTTAAAATAGGTTGCACTGTACAACCTTTACAGTAACAAAAAGGAAGCATACTAAGGTGAAGCCATTAACTGTCCCAAGGTCACACTGCAGGCCCAGGGGAAGCAGGTGAAGGGGTAGGTGAACAGCTCTCATAACTGGCCACTACTGAATATGAAGCAAGGTTGTCATCTAAGAACAGCACATGGCCTCTCTCCTTCCCACATTACTTAGCGGATTTAAAACACCTAGAAAGGTCCGAGTGGATGAGGTGAAATACAGGTTGAATTTTTGAAGGTCATGAGCAAGGGAAGGACAATGAGGCGATCAGGAGAAAAACCACAGTAGCAAAGTAAACCTCAAGACAAATTAGCCAGAAGACAAATTCTCTAAACCTTTTTCACTACCCCGATGTCCCAAAAGTCACATTTAAAATTACAAAAAAGTCGGGGTTCTCAAAGGGGAGTTGTAGAGAGGGCAAAGGATAGGAATTATGTCAGCCTTTTCGGTTTTTTGATTAGCAAACAACAGGAGCTACCACCTCGTAGGACTGTTACAATGAAGACATCACAGACGAAGAACTTCGTTCTAGTGTGTGACACATTGCCAGCCTTGAATTACACCCAAGCTAGCCCACAGGTTTTCTCTGTGGAGTCATTTGATCACACGTGATTATGCTGCTCAGTTGGCCAAAGGCTGCAGCTCCCAACTGAATGTTGCTAGACAATGAATTATTTGACAAAACACTGAAATTTAAGCAGTACGCATTCGCAGTCATCCAGGTATGAGGACATTATTATCGTAGGCTTCTCCCTATCGTTACATTAACAATAAAAGAAAAGGAAAACAAAAAAGCACATCCTACCTTCGTTCTTCTTCCTAAGGTAATATCTTCTTCAAAAGATAAAAAACACTAACACGTTTGTCCTTAAAAAGACAGAGAGCCCGGTGGTGATTCAAGAGCTTTCTGAACACTCCTCCCCCTCCGCTAGGGACCAAACCGCCCGCTGCACCTCGTGTCACCCGCAGTCCTCCCTGCTCAGAGCCTGTGTTTACTTCCACCGCCCGCCACTCGGGCGGGAAGGGAGTACCCGGCCGCCCCTTACTTTTCACTCCTGCTGCTTTCCAAACAAACCAGGGCGGGATGGGAGTGTCTTCTTGGCTGTGGAATCGATCCTCCTACCTTGTCCTGAAGCCACCCGCCGCCTTTCCCCGGCTCTCCCTCCGTGGTGATTTTCCTGTCCCGGACGCCCGGCGAGGGCGCGCGGCTGGCGTCCGCCCCGCCCGAAGGTAGGGGATCGGCTGAGCTCCGGCCTCGCCGCCCCGGGTTCCGCAGCATCCCTGCACAATAGCACCTTCCTCCGAGAGTTTGGGGGCGCCCGTGTCCACCGCGCAACTGGCGCCAGTCACCAGGCAGGAGGAGCTTCTGGCGGCTCGGGAGGTGCTGGGCTCAACCGCCGGGGATCCGGACCCGGGCGCAGCGGGCAGCGCGCCGGCTTGGAGGGTGCCTCGGACTCCGGGTGGCGCTACGCCTCCCTCCGATCCCCTGCCGAGGTCCAGGGGGAAGGAATCCGGCCTGACCCGCGCCACCTTCCTCCAGTTTCTACTAGTCGTGGGCTTCGGCGGCCCGATGCGGCAGGCGCCACCGGAGAGGCAGCAGCCAGCTGGAGCGAGCGGCGCGGGCGGGCGGGGAGCAGCGGGCCCCGGCTGCGGAGCCCGGCGCGCCTCTGCGGTCGGCGCGCCTGGGCCTCGGCGGGTAACTCTCTCGGCTGGCTTGGCTGCGGGTCTGCATAGCTCGGGTAGGGGAGAATGGAGTTGCGGGGACGCGTTCCGGACCAGGCTCCCCGGGCCGCCTGAGCTGGGTGCTGCCCAGACCTTCTGTGGCTGAGCGTTGGGGGTTGAGACGCGGTGTCCGGACTGTCCCTCCACATTCCCTGCCAGCACCAAGGTCTGTAGCGGGAGGCGGTGAAATGGGGCCACCCGGCGCTGGGACCCGCGAGCTAGTCGGGGTGCGCCGAGACCCGGGCTGGGAGAGTGCCCCGCGGGCCCTGGAGCTCACGGGGACTGTGGGAGCCCGGGGGACCTGCTCCGGGACTCTTTCTTCTCTAATCGCAGGCGAGGGCGTGCGCTTGGGAAACCCAGGGGCTGACCAGTTCCTGGCTCTCTATTGTTGTCTTGTAAAACGGTCTATACCCGAGGAGGGGCCAGGGGTCTGGAAGGTCCTGTTCCTTTACCTTAGAAAGTTTTTTCGAGAACCCTTTCTTTCCACCACCACCAGAGAGCTAGACCTAACGAAACAAGCACCGAGGCATTTGGGGGCGGGGGTTAGGCGGTGAGAAAATTGCAGCGTTTGGGCTGCCGCTAATTTTCAGGATAAAGGAGAAAAAACTTGTCATTTTGCCGCCGCTAGTTCCGGAGCTACCAGCAATCTCAAGACCCCTTGTCATGTGCTGCTATTTTGGCTTAAAAGCAAATCCGTAAAAAGTGATTTACAAAACCCCCAAACAACCGTCCCGGAATCCTCTTTTAGGCTTTTCAGTGGGGCGGCAAGGGAGGGCGGAGAGAGAGGAAGCTGCTGTTCAAAGGTAAGGTTAGAAAACAGTTTGTGGGGGTGGGGATGGGGAGCACAGTTGAGTGTTAGAGTATCAGAAGCCACCCAGACCACATTGGCCTTAAGGGGACTGCCAGGGCACTGTGATTAGGTAGACGGTCAGGAGCCCTTGTCTTGTGTGGTCGGTCCACGCTGACCTTCCGGTAACCACTCTTCCTTCGAGTTTCCTATGGCCTCTTCTACTACGCTAGCCTGAGGATTGGACCTTCCGGTTTCTAATCTTTCTCACCTAGCTGCAGACCATGAAACTGTATTTTTATTTACGACAAGGTGTTAAATATTTGCAGAGATGTGGTCAGGCTGCCAGGGTATTTTCCGTGCCAAGCACGGTGATTTGACATTGTCAGTTGGTTTGGGTTGCTTCCTTTTCCTCTCACCAAGAACGGCTTTCATAGCAAGATCTGCAAAAGAGACCTCCTTAGACTATTACTTAGTTTTTTGAGTTTGAATGAAGCCAACTGCTTCGGACGCACTTTAGATAATGGCAGTATTGGTTTGTAGAAGAGAACTTTTCCACAAAGTGTTACCCTGGTCTGGCTTCCCCAGCTGTTCCTAATGGTAGAGTCTGAGGAGAGATGCTCATTCCTTGCCGCCTTATAACGTTCTTTTTTACCGTACACTGTGGTCCCTGAATGCTACAATCCCAGATTGTACTGTATCTTATATCTTGTTTTAATGAGGTGATAACATGCGACCACAGTTTTCACTTGATTTTACTAGGATTTGTTGGAGATATTCAATTAGTCCTAATGTGCCAAATCAATAGAAATATTTGAGGCTCAGAAAAGAATAGACAACATTGACAGAAGAATGCCATTAAAAGACATCAGTCTGACTTTCATCAAATTATCCAGAGCTCAGTGGCGGAGAACTGGATTCCACAGCCATTTTGTTCTGTTGGAGACATTTGTGTTGGAACCTTATGGGAAGAGAAGAGAATAATGCCCTATTTCCTACTCTTCCCTGATAAGCATCATCTGCTAACTGTGCAGACTGCCAGATGGCTGCCACAGAAATTATGACTCCATCCAGGGTTTGGGAACCAGAGATCTGTGCAATGTGCTTTCTAGGTGGTGTTTATTGAGGCGGTGAGGGAAGCCTAGAGCTCATTTGTGGTATTCACCCACTCTGATCTATGGTGTGTTTTTGTATGCCATTTTACTTAAACTTCCTAACAACCCTATGAGACAGAAACTAAGACTGCCTCGGCTTTAGTTACAATGGCTTACGTTAAGGTCTAATGCTGCCTCTGCCTTGCTCCACTTGAGGAAGACTCCTTAGGGCATGTTCTTCACAGATCCTTTTATTCCTTGTGTATTTCTTTCTCCTTGGCATTGCACACACTCAATGTGTATAACCTTGTTGTGAATATACGTTTCCAATTACCCCTCAGGCTGGGCTTCTTGAATGTCTACACATTTTATCCCATCTTCCTTCTGCCAACTTCAGACTTCAGGTACTTTCTATCTTCTGCACATCTCTTTTATTAAATTAAAATTGAAAAAAAATTGGAGATAGGGTCTTCACTATGTTCACCAGGCTGGGATGCAATAGTGTAATCATTGCTCCTTATAACCTTGAACTCCTGGGCTCAAGAGATCTTCCTGCCGTGGCTTCCTGAGTAGCTGAAACTACAGATACATGCTGACATACCCCACTAATTTTTAAATTTTTTATAGAGATAGAGACTTGCTACAATGTCCAGACTGGTGTTGAATCCTGGACTCTAGCAATCCTCCTGTCTTAGCCTCCCATAGTGTTGAGATTACAGGTGTGAGCTCCTATACTTGGCAGTTTACATTTTTGATAATGCCATTCAGGTGTGCTGTGTCTCATCACATCCAGGAGGTTATGCTGTCTTCAACAGGCTGTATTCCAAAAGTTAGTTTCTTTCTGAAAATATTTTCTATTCACCCTTCAAGGTTCAGCTATACCTTGCCTGGAAGGAGTCTTCCCAGGGTAACATTCCTACCCTTGTAGTTGAAATGAACCTCTCTCTCTTGCCTGTCCCAGCTTCGGTGAATAATAGTACACATGATAGTTTTCAAGTTAACCTTTTGAGCTAAAAATTGTGTTTTCTTGATGAACAGTGAGCTTGATGCCTGTAATGAAATGTAAGCATTACAGCGTTTGAGTAGGAAACTCATCATGGTTCTAAATCAATGAGTTAGAAACTCAGTTCCCTCACTATTGCGGGGTAGCAGTTCTTTCTCCTGATGGTCAATCAACTGTAGTCTCCCAAATGTGGTGAGGAACTTGACTGCTCTGTGGCTGGGCTAAGAAAGCCTAAGATTTTGGCAGTGAGGTTATGAGGGTGAAGGAGAATAAGGAACTTTGGGGTTAGGCTTTCAAACCCCAAGTCCGTATTTCTTTTTCCTGGAAAACTTTTGGTTATCCAAGGGAATGGGCATCTTACCTTTTATTGCCATAACTTTCTGTATCTGACAGGGGCTTTCCTCTTCCTCGACCAGTGGGAAAGAGGAAAAGAAAAGCACTCAGCTGCTAGTAGATTTTCTTATAAACCCTGAAAAGCTGAGTGAAAAGTTCTCTTGTCCTCCATTCTCTCCCCCCCCCCATATACTTAGTGTAAGATGAAGTGTGAAATGGCATCATTTTTTTCAGTAGCATCTAATGCTGGGCTGTGAAGGAGTCTTTAAACATTTATTCACTTTTTGTCCAATTTGGAATGCAAAGATCTTTAGGTGTTGATAAGAATAAGACCAAGAGGCTGGGACCCTCCCAAAGGTAGTGGGCTGCTCCACAGTTATGAAAGCATGAAAGCAGCCCTGGGGTTCGTCTGGCTGTGGGGCATGGTCACGGCTGGGAGCTGGGGAAAACAAAGGAGCAGAGAGTGGTTTATAGTGGATATTTCTGCATGGCCATCCTTAAGGTGGGACTATCTTCATGGTCAGCCAGTATTTACTAAGCATCCACTGTGTAATAAGAGATGTTCTCAGGAGGCAGGGGTATAGTATTGTACAAGACAGACAAATCCTCTGCTCTTACAGAGCTTATGTTGCTGTGGGAACAGTCAATAAACACAATATAAATAAGTGACAGAGCATATGTCAGATTGAATGAGTGTTCAAAAGACAATACAATATGGGAGTGTGATAGAGACGGGGTAGAGGAAGCAACTTTAGAACAGTTGGGAAGCTTCTCTAAGGAGGTGATATTTGAGCTGAGATGAGAATGATGAGGAGCCCGTCAGGTGAAGAACAGAAGGAGGAGCCTTCCAGGCAGAGGCGACTGTAAAAGTCTTGGACATAAATGAATTTGAGGTGTTTGAGAAACAGAAGAGCAGTGTGAAAAGAGAATGGTTGGGACAACTTGCAGTTCAAGAAAAGTGTGAGCAGGGGAGAGTGGGGGAGATACAGTCACCAAGGTAGATGGAAGGCAGATTTTGTGAAGCCTTCAAACCTTGGAAAGAAGTTTAAGATGTATTCTCACTCTATTGCCCAGGATAGAGTGCCCTGGCCTCAGCCTAGCTCCCAGCAACTTCAAACTCCTGGGCTCAGGGGATCTTTCTGCCTCAGCCTTCTGAGTAGCTGGGACTACAGCTTCTGCTACCATGCCTGGCTAATTTTTTCTATTTTTAGTAGAGACAGGATCTTGCTCATGTTCAGGCTGGTCTGGAACTTCTGAGCTCAAGCAATCTGCCCACCTCAGCCTCCCACAGTGCTAGGATTACAGTGAGCCACCACACCCATCTTTGAATTGTATTTGAATTAGAATGCATGCCTCTGAAGATTTTTGATTAGGGACTAAACCTTCACCCATTAGGCAGTGGGTTTTCCTGTCTTGCACACACATGTGCTCTCTCTCTCACACACACGCATACACGCACAAACATCCACTTTCGACATTGGCTTTACTTCTTCCTGTTAATTGTCCATCACTGATTTCATCTCCTTTTTGTAGGCCAGGGCATAGGTATGCTCATATACACAGGCAGGGCTCAGAGAAACTTGTACAGTCCTCTTATCCTCTGAACTATACCCATATACTCAGGTAGTTTCACCTTCAGGCACAAAGTTCTGTATGACTAGCCCTAATTTCTCAACTGCTCTTCAGACTGAATATCTAGTGTCTCTAAGTAATCTTTGGTATTGACATCTGAAACTAGATACTAAAAATTAAATTAATTATCTAGTCAAATCAAATGAAACTTGTGTCTTTTGCAAGGCAGTCATTGTTGCAAGAGGCAGCATTTTGAATAACCCAAAGGCCTTGCCTTTTCCTGAATTCCTGCTTCTTTTCTCCTGGGCTTCTGCCTACGCAATCTGTCTGGGGAGGTTCATGCTCTCTTTAAAGTACAGTTTCAGTGGAAATGTACAAGGCTATTGTAGTATTTGTCATAAAAATATACTATGCCTGAGAATTTCTTTTCTATTGGTCTTCACATATGATCTTGGCAGTCTTAGAGGTAGCACTAAAATTATCTTAATTTATTATTTCTGTTAAACTAGTAGGGCTGGTTTATTAGAAGTGAACAGAAGATCACAGCATTTTATCAGCTATCCTTCAATTTCAGGATGTCTCATCATGACCAGTATATTACTTTCTGGGAAGGCTTAGCATAATTTTTAGAGAAAATTATTTTTGAGATTCTTATATACTTACCTAACTGATTAATGTAGTGGCAGAAAACCCTGAAACACATTTCTGTTTGAGAAGGCAGTGGTGGTGCCATGTCTTATTCACCTGAATGCCCTCTGCACCTGGCACGGTGTCCAGCATGTTATAAATTCAGCACACATTTGTCAGATGACTGCATCAATTTCCATTGATTGACTTTCGAAATTAATACAGATGTTCCTCCCTTTCAGATTACATCTTGATAAACCCATCATCATAAATTGAAAATATCGTTAAGTCTAAAATGCATTTAATCTGCCTAGCTCATTGAACATTATAGAATAGCTTAGCCCATGTTAAGCATGCTCTAAACTTACATGATACTACAGATGGGTA